GTTAGCTGAAACTTGATACAAACTGATACAACTCGGTCAGATCATGTTTTTGCCACAAATAAACATTTCCAGAGTTCATTGGTTTAGTTATTTTGTTTTAAACACAATTAAAACACAATTTCTTTGTTCTCACCTGTCCACACAAATCACACCATGGGGGAAAGAAATGAGTCTGAACTAATGTAACTTAAAAAGCAGCATATCAAAGATCATTTGGCTATGTTTAACACAGTAAAACATTGTCTTACCTTCTTTACATACAGACACATTCAGCAGGCCAGACCCCAGGCAATTACCAGCAGGCACACAAAAGCCTGCGTTGTCTGGGTTCACAGTCAGATTGGCGAACACTGAGCTGGGAGGAACAAATCGATACCCAGTGATCCCCTTCACTGTCACATCCTCCTCATACACTGTGTACAGAGACCTTAGAAAGAGAGTTACATGCTTGTTAATCTCTGGATGCACTGCGTTACTGGACAATGACACATGGTTTGAATTCATGAGCTCAGCGATAAGCTGATTTACAGAAAACCTGCATTGAACAAACTGGTTACACCAGTTTTTCAACGGTTGTGTTGACACCTCTTATTAACCAAGCTGTTAGATGACCTGTAAATGTGACTTCTGTTTCTAATATATTAACAATCACAGAGGACTGACATTTGTTGTTTTAAGCAGCATTAAATAGGCTGTGGCCTCATTTAGGAGGCTAACACTGACCAGCCTTGAAACCAGCCAAACTGAATTAGGATCCTTAATCCAATATTCAGACCAGGGAAAGGCTCAGAAAGGCTGTGGTGGGAGCCATTTCACTAGCTCAAGCCAAGAGGGAAAATACAGCAAATGCTGCATGAGTCAGCAGAATATGGCTTGAAACTGAACTGAAATAACCTTCATATGAAACTACAAAAGTCCAGATGCTCAGCTGAAAAACACATTCAGCTACAATGACTAAAATAGAAACAAACATTTACAATGAATGTTTTATACATTTCTAAATTCAAATATTTTAAATTTACATTTAAGTTTTTTTTGGTTTTTTTTTTAAATACACAACCTTTTAAATTCAAGTGACGTATTAAATGTGTCTTTCTTCAATAAAGAACAGAAGTGTTCTTTATTTTATTTAAGAATAATCAAAAAAGAATAATTACATTTTGAGTCGCACGGCTTCAATCCAAATTTGAAGGTTTTGGAGGTTGGCCTGCCTAGAGCCCGACCTCAACATTACTGAAGCAGTGTGGGATCGTCTTGACAGAGAATGGAACAAAAGGCAACCGGCATCCAAAGAAGAGCTTTGCATGTCTTTCAAAAAGCTTGGAGAACTTTTCCTGAAGACTACTTCAAGAAATTACAAGAAAGTTTGACAGAGTTCAGGCTGTGTTCAAGAATAAAGGTGGTCATACCACCATGTGTTTCATTAAATTACTGCAATTATTTCCCAATTTACTAGCACACCAGTAAGAGATGAGGGGTGGCTCAACACTTTTGCACAGTACTGTATATGCAATCAAAAGATTGCATCTTTCACTGGTACAGCTTTTCTGCTCTACTCACCTGCACAGGTCAGACGAGAAAATGTAGAGCACATCATTCTTGGTGATTACAGGATGGAAGCCTGTTCCAATGGTTCCATTAATCATGTTGCACTCATCAGACGTCCACCAATTCAAGGAGCTGCACAGATATTCAAAATGTTACAAAGTTCGAAGGTTTAAAAATGTTTCAGACATTTAGCATGCCCAGCTAAAAGCCATGGAAAGCCATTTGCTGGGCAAAGAGGACTGGATATATTTGTAGGTTAGGAAGCACACTATAAAATAAGTGTGTTTCCCAAAACTGCTGCTCAAGGTACAACAGCCTAGTCTTAAAACAATTAGGTTTGTAAGACAGGCAGAGATAAAAGGCAGTGCAAGAAAGATGATCATATTTTGGGGGTTTAGTGAGTACAGATGCAGAGCCGATGGTTGGCTGTTCTTCTCTGTGACAAAGATAAGAGAGTTTGGTGCTTTACCTAAGTAGTTATTTCATTATTGATTACATTTTTTAAAATGATGTTAAAGGGAGAAACATCAGCGTTTGATCCCTGCAGTGAGTGATTCTGTTTTGCTGTTGGGGGGATCTGGCTAACATGGTTTGACTTTCCTCATTTAATGGCTATGAAATGAAATGATAATTATAAAAGGTATATAAGCCAAACTAGCAGCCAGTGGTTATTTTGGTCACATGTCTGTAAACAAACTCAGTTTCAGTGTCCTATCGGCGGTGATATAAGAAAGAGAACGAAAACTCAACAGGAACACAGTTAAACCCACCTTGATCATATGACACAAATCACTTGGTGTGCATCCATTAACTTCATGTCACCAACAAAACTCACTGATGAACAATTTTACTATTAAACTGTAAATCCAACATGTGCTACAGGTGAGAGGAGACAATTACCTTTCACCTTTCCACGTGTCCACTCTGGAAAAGTCCCTATAGTTCTGCTGACCAGTGAAAAACACATATTCTCCATCATTGGAAGCATTGTTCTGTAAGATGGGGGAAAAAAGTTTTTTGGTTTTTTTTTTTAAATATAAAAAAAAAAAAAAGGTTTACACAAAGAACACAATTACACATTTATGTGCATTAAAGAGACCTTATAGAAAAGTCCAAAAACATCATCCAGATCCAGATCATGTGTAATGGTTTTCAAGGCTTTAAGAAGTCCATCTTCATATCCCCACAGCAGCTCTCCCACTGAACGAGTGGTAAAAAGGCCTTGCCCGGTGCCCTTCATGTAGGCAGAGATCAAGTTGGCTTCCAAGGATTTATCCTTGAGTCTTTCCATCACTGTCTACTAGGACAAAAAAAAAAAAACGGGAGAAGAACGCCATTACAGGATTATTAGTTTGAATAAACATAAAGCATACAGCAGGCCATGTAAGTTAATATTGAGGTATAATATATATTTATATATTAAGAAAACAACTTCCTTATTTAATCTTGCTGATTGACTGAGGTTTTGCAGACATGTGAACACAAACCACATGCCCATGTGCCCATTAACCATGTTATGTGAACTTCTCCACAACTGTGGACAAGTGACAATCATGGTGACAATGTAGGATCAAGTGACTAAGCTCCCAGTCACACAGACCTAGATATTGACCCTCTGGCAACCACCACTTGCTAGGGAAAAACATCTCATCTCCAAGCAAAAACCTCCATTTGACTGCTATCCATCAATCCTCTTCTGCCTACCCAATTAAGGGTCACCAGGTGGATGGAGCCTATCCCGCTGCCATAGGGCGAGAGGTGGGGTACACCCTGGACAGGTCGCCAATATGTTGCAGGGCTAACACAGAAAGACAGAACCATTCGCACTCATATTCACACCCGTGGGCCATTTGGAATCACCATTTAACCTCCATTTAGAGTCTGAATGGAAGTGATAGACTTGTCAACAAATACTACCCAACTACTCTCCAAACTGTAGTGAAACCGTAGAAAGTGCAGCACAAACCAGAAATCTACCCCCTTTGAAACATGTTGACTGTAGCGCTGAGGCAAAACATTACTTTGAAGACAAACCTTCTCCATATAGGAAATGCTCCACAGGAAATGCTATAGGCACTGGGCAACCTACTAGCAACCAGAGCAAGACCCCTAAGAGGTCTTTTCTGCAGCACTTTCTTTGCAACCAACATGCAACCGACAACCAGCAACTCCTGTGAACCACTCAACAACCAGTTGAGGAATATACATGAGCAATGCCCACATGTGAGAAACCTTAATATTCGTCCTAATGTGAGAAAACTATAATACTGTGAGTGGCAGATCAGATCGGTGCTGTAGACTATTGCTCACCATGGCAGGGATATTAACTGTCCTGATGAGGTCACTCTCTGGACCTCGGGACATGTTACGCTGAAAAATGTAGGTTTTAGTGTTGACAGCTGTTACTTTAGTGCCATTATCCTGAAAGTCAATTTGCTCCATAGGCCGGTACTCTCTGTGGAGGAAAAGCAAAACATTTTTAGACAAGAGAAAAGATTCTTTGTTACAGAGCTGCAGCCAAATATAACAACTAGCTTTGTTTGTGATTAAAAAAAAAAGCTATAGCGTAACTCCCTACTTTGCATCTGCACTCTTTAACACGCCATGTTATATAAAGCACAATACATGAAAAAAGTGTGGGGATATTAAGACATGCAGTTCTTCACATGACTGATAATGTCACATTTACTCTACATGAAAAGTGGGTTGAAGATTGTTCGTCTATTGTGGCTCAATTTCCCTTGACACACATCTGTGCAGTTTGTGACTGTGTTTGTGACATGTGACTGTGATGCAATTATTGGAAAAAAAGAAGAAGCTTTTTTTTTAAAAAAAAACATAAAACGTGTCAATGGTGAGTTGTTTCTTAATAACTCAATAACAATTTCCTAAAACTGCTTTATTTTAACTGATTTGGTGACCCAGATAACATATGTAAGTATTTACGTTAGCTTTCAGTGCTACTGAAAACAAGTCAGTGCCAAAAGAGATAAGATGGTTATCAGCTGTGTGCAGCGATATATTATACTATCACTGGGTATATAGATAATATGAATCAAATAAACTTTCTTTTCACCTTACACGTATATCTAGTTCAAAGTGCTTTACAGGTTAAAAAAAAAAAAAAGGCAAATTAAAATTGGCATATATTAAAAGAAAATTAAACAGAATAAACTTTAGAACATGTATACACCAAGTGAACAAAATAAGGCCAATAAAAATTCATTTAAAAAACGTAATGCTACATAAAACAGGAAAACCAAACTGTCAAATGATTAAACCAATAAATTAACCTATCAGCGAATAAAAATAAGAAGATCTGAAAAGGGAAAACAATGAAATAACATCAAGTCAAACAGTAAGTTAAAAATGTAAAACAAAGTAAGTAATATATGTAAAGCACGTTTAATCAAAAGCCAGTTTTATGAACGTCGAGATCCTGTGGGTGTGGACTGGGTAGAAAATAAACTGCACATTGACCTGTCATGGCACAATAACACTGAATGTACACAATAAAAAAAACAATAAAATGTGCTTTCGGAAAAATAAACATCTCCGTGTCACAGTTCGTAAGTCTCAGCACCAAAACTAGTACAAAAATTCTGTCTCTCAGGTGCTTACAGGTATCCAAGCACAGGATTGCTCTGCATCTCTTTAAATTTATCTCTAACAACATTCACATGTTTTTTTCTTAAACACACTATAGACCAGGGGTGGGGAACTCCAGGCCTCAAGGGCCAGTGTCCTGCAGGTTTTAGATATCACCCTGGATCAGCACACCTGAATCAAATAATTAGTTCCTTACCAGGCCTCTGGAGACATGTGTCCAGAGACTTCAAGACATGTTGGGAGGTAATTTAGCCATTTAAATCAGCTGTGTTGGATCAAGGACACTGTGCGACGACAGTGTCCTGTGAGAGCTAAGCACACCCTGGGATTCAAAAGCTTGAGCAGAAATGACTTGATGTAACAATTTTCTGTATTGACTTTATCACTTCGTCATATTGTTGTCGAGGAATTTTGGCCTGCTCTTTTCACAGCATTGTTTCCATTCATTGAGATTTACAGGCTCAGCTCTCTTAAGGCCCTGAAACAGCATTTCAGTCAGGTCGATGTCTGGACTTTGACTGGGTCATTGCAACACTTTGATCATTTTCTGTTTTCAACCATTCTGTTGCAGATTTGCTGCTGTGGTTGAGATCATTGTCCTGCTGCACGACCCAGTTTCAGCTGAAGCTAACTGTCAGACAGATGGCCTCACATTTGGCTCTAAAATACTTTGATTAGATCATGAACTGCTCTGTATACCAATGACTGCAAAACAAGAACAAATCATCACTCCTCCAAAACTGGCTGAAAATTTGTATGAGGCGTTTGTGCTGATACAATGTGTTGGGCTTTCTCCTAAAAGTAGGGCTGTGCATTGTGGCCAATCATCTCTTTGGTCCATCTGAAAAAAGCACAGTGTTCAAGAAATCTTGTGATTTGCTCAGATGCAACTTTGCAAACGTAAGCTGTGCTGTCTTGTTCTTTTTTTTAGAGTGAAGAGACTTCTGCCAGGGAATCCTGCTGAACAAGCCACGCTTGTTCAGTCTTTTTCCAACTGTCATGAAGTGTAATATTGTAATAGTGTGCTAACTAATGCCATCTGATTAGCCGGACCTGGCTGCTATTTACCTGCTTAATTACTATTGCAGTGTCTTTTTCTGATCTTTTTAACTGCTCCACAGTTTGTGTGCAGCAGCGTTGGCTTTGTTACTTTTATCAGGTTGTTGATTTTCCAAATCAGATGTATTGTGCTTTTATAAACCTTTTTCATCTAACTCAACACCTTCACTAGTCAAATTTATTACTAGTCAATAAATTTGTATCACATTTATTCTTAATATACATCGTAAGACTGGCACCACTGAATCTTAAAAGCTCCCATTATGGGTGCTGATACATCATTGCTTTGCCTCCACCTCTTAAAATGTTCCAGTAACTTGACACTTAGTTTTTTTTGTTTTCTTTAAATCAAGAGATGAATGGAGAAACAAATGTTAAGCGTTTCTCCTTTCCCTCCCTCACCTGTATGTATACGGTCCAATCTCCACCACAGCTGGCCTCTCCCCATCCAACACCTCTTGGGGATTTGTGAGATTGAAGAAGTAAAACTGCATGTAGATATGTGCCGGTGGATCCTTCCAGGCCTCAAACGCATCTGTATCGTTTTTCAGAACGACTTGCTAATGGGGGACAAAGAGCGGTGGGGTTAAAAATGTTATTTTAGATGACAACTGTGCTGATGATATGCAGTTTCACTTCACGTTACACAGTATGAACCTGCTGAAACAGATGAAATCATCATTTGGTGTCATGACACACACACACACACACTCACACACACTCACAGGCCACTGCTTTTCGGCACAAATACATAATCAACTCAATGAATTTAGCAACGTAGCCATTCTCAAGAGGACCTGCTGAAGTTCAAACTGAGTATCGTAATGGGAAAGTCTGAGGAGTCTTGATTTCTGCTACAACATACAGGTGGCAGGGGCAGGATTAGGCTGGAGCTGATGGTGTAATGGTGTTTAGATATGTTCTTTGACCTCTTAGTACCATTGACTGTAGAAAACAGTTTTCTACAGTCAATGCTTAGTACCAGTTGAGCATCATGTAAATACTACAGCCTATCTGATTATTGTTGGTGACCATGGCTATTGCTTCAGCAAGATAACGCAGTATGTCACAAATCATCTCAAACTGGTTCCTTGAACATAACAATGATTTCGCTGTACTCAAAGGGCCTCCACAGTCACCAGACCTCAATCTAGTAGAGCACCTTTGAGATGTGGTTAAACATGAGATTCACATTATAAATGTGCAGCCGATAAATCTGCAGCAGCTGTGTGATGCTATCATGTAAATATGGACCAAAATTTCAGAGGAATGTTTCCAGCACCTTTTTTGACCATGTGAATTAAGGCAATTCTGAAAGCAAAAGGATATCCAATCTGATACTAGTAATGTGTACCTAATAAAGTGTCCAGTGAGTGTTTATGCCACATATGATACACAATATTTGGTGACAATCACAAAGCACAAATAAAAGGCAAAATGATCAAATGCGAAATACTGAGATGGCATCTATGTCACATGTTAAACTATATTTAGCAATGAATGTTATAAAAGCATACAATACTCTCTGTGCCAATTGTCGAATAAGCAATTCAACTGATCCACACAAAATTAAATTTAATTCAACTGTCTACAATACAACAGATCTGTCTAGCAGATAATCACCTGTTCTCTCATGTAAATATTTTTAGACCCTCTACAATCAAAACAGTTAAGACAAACGCAAAGCTCTTACTGCACAGCACTGGCTGTGCCCATTTAAAATCATCTGATTTACTATCCTGGTTTTTTATTACATTTAGTAAGACGTGTTACATTCTGTAATACTTTGTTGAATTTGCGCCATTTCGCTTTTTTTTTTTTTTACAATTACTTAATAGGTCTGAACCATACTGAGATTTGGGTTTTGTCAAATTATGTTTGCTTTTACTGAGCGTTTATTGATATATTATTCTATTTATTTAAACTATTTCAAGCCGTGTTAATTTTAGCTGTGCTACCAAAAGATTTCCGCATGTTTAGGATACAAAATGTACACATTGTGTGATCTCATCTTTTCAACCCTAGAAATAAACACTGCTACTTAAGTAAATAGGTGACAGAACAGATCTGAAATTGTATCCTAAGGCGAGCCATTTGTAAAACATTCAAACCTCAAACGCTTAAAACTGTTAAAAACACTTCCATAAATAATTCCGCGCTGTATTTTTTAGACGCTAAATGAGCTAACTTTAGCTACTATGACAATGTCTCATATTAGCTTATCTGAGGTTAACGCCTACTGCAAAGGCTAGCCTAAATTAGATGCTTACCTTTTTAACCATCGACTGTACTAAATGTGGAAACACGCTGGTCAAAACCAACGAAATGCCGAGAATCAGCATCAGTACAGAAACAACTCCGACGCTGTAAACGCAACATGACTTTAGCACCATGACGAGGCAGTAGAAGGCTAAACACGTCTCTCAGCTTTCACTGACAGCAGCTACCCACTGTTTGCTGTTTTTGTTTTGAGAAGCCAGGAACTTGCTCGGTAGAGCAAAGACTCACTTCCGGAATAAGACACTTCGCTCCTACCACATCCGGTTTCATAGACAGTCGATAGGGTCAGTGAGCATTCAGCCGTAAAAAAGAAGCTGCAGTGATTTTAAATAATCTGTTTAACCTTTGTTATGGGGCTCAATGGTGAAATATGATGTATGAAAAACATAACAAATTAAACTCCCTCCACAAGAGCTCGTCGTTATTATAGCTGAACCGCAGAACGAGTAGGCTATCTATCTTGAAGGCAAACATTCTTTGTTTTTTTTTATCTAAAGCAGTAGCAGTTTAAACCTTTTGTTACGGACTCACAAACAAAAAAATATTTGGTGTCGACATCTCCTCAGACCTGACATGGGCTGCCCACATTCAGGTCCAGACCAAAAAGGCTAGGCAGCGCCTGTATCACCTACGACAACTGAGGAAGTTCAGGGTCTCTCCAAAGATCCTCAGGATTTTCTATACAGGCGCTGTGGAGAGCATCCTCACACAGAACATGACATCGTGGTTTGGGAACAGCTGTGTGAAGGACCAAAAAGCTCTCCAGAGAGTGATCCGTACAGCAGAACGCTGCTGCAGGATTGCTCTCCCCCCGCTTCAGGACACCTACACCAGGAGATGCCGGACTAGAGCAGCGCAGATACTGAAGGACCCGTCCCATCCAGGCAACAAACTGTTCCAACTTCTGCAATCTGGTAGAAGGTTCCGCATCTTCCGGGCAAGGACAGAGAGACTCAAGAGGAGCTTCTATCCCCAAGCCATCCGTGCCCTAAACACACACACCCGCCCTCTCACATCATCTATAATTGACTGAGACAGGACTCTTCCAGACACTAAACCAAGGCACAATGTACATTTCAATTCCTTTAATTTTAAATATGTTTATATTGTCTATCCTGTAAAATAGTCAGATGTCTATTCATATTAATGTACAGAATTCACCTGCTTGCTGCTACTACTGCACATTCACCCAATGTGTGTATATATATATATATAATGTTCTTCTTCTCATCTACAGATCGTCTACTCTCTCAACAAAAATCATCATCATCATACTGAGTTAACTTTTGCTTCTCTCCCCCCGCCCCGCCCGGCACCGCCCCGCCTCCTTTTTTTTGCCTCCCCTGTCGCGGCGAGGTAGTCCGCGGGTCCCTTCCCTGTGTGTTCTCTGTGTCTCCTCTGCCTGTGCCTCCCTCCCGCCTTGCCCCTTTGCCCTTGCGCGACCCCGCCCCCGCCCCCGGCGCCCCGCCCCCTGTCCCGCGGGGCCGCCGGCCCCCGGTATCCGCTCTTGCCGCCTCCCCCCTCCGTTCTTTCTCCCCCCGCGCTCCCGTTTCGGCCGTGGCCTTCGCCGTCCCCCGCTTCTCCGCCTCGCTGTCCTGTCTCTTTCCTCCCCTTTTGCCTCTTTTTGCGCCTCTCCCCTGCCTTCTCGGGCCCGGTCGCCCGGGTTGGTCCTTCGGCTCCCCCGACTCCCGTCTGCTCCCCCGTGTGTCCGTCTTTGTCTCCTGTTTGTTTTTGTTTTTTTTTTCTTCTCTGCTCGAGCCTTCGGCTGACGGCCCCTTCGCCCGCCTGTCTCCCCTGCTGCTCCTTTCTCCTTGCGTCCGCCGCTCGCGCCGCCTTTCTTTCGTTCTCTCCCCCCCTCCCCCTTTCGTCCCCTGCTCTCGTTTCGCGCCACCCCCCCCCATCCGAGGCCCCCCTTTCCCGCACCTGGCTCCTCTCTGCCCCGTGCCGCTCCGTGGGCGCACCCCCCGTCTTTTCGTCCGACACCGTTGTGCCAGTTCCGCGCGCCTTTGCCCTTGCTGCCCGCGGTCACCGTCCTTTGCCGACCGGCGGTCCCCTTCCCTGTGCGACGCCCGCCCTGTGCCCCGCTACCTTGCTCCCCCTGGTCGGTTTGTCGCGGCATTTCTTCCTACCTGTCGTAGCGTGCCCCTCCGTTGCTTTGGTCCCCGTCCAGGCCTCTCTGGCTCTCCCCGCCCTGTCCCGTCTTCTGCTCCGCCGCTTTTCTGTACTCCCCTCGTTCCTGCCGCGTGTGTCTGGCTGGCTCTTTTGCCCTCATCGCCTCTGTCTCCCGACACCTTCCCGTCTCCCCCCGTCCCCTCCCCCCCCCGCACATGGCCGCCCCCGCGCCTTTCGCCGGCCCCGCGGCCCGTCTTGTCGCTGCCCCGACTTGGCCGCGGTGCCCTTCTCCTGGCCCGCCGCTTGGTCGCTGCACCTCCCCCTGTGGGCCCGCCCTCTCGCTCCCCATAGAAAGGCGACGACCCTACGCAACCCCCCTGCTCCCTCCTGCCTCCAGCTCTGGGGCTCCGCACCCGCTACACTCTCACGTGGGAGAGAATCCCACCTGCAATACACTGGAGACAGACCCGAGAGGTGCGCCCCCGCTCCCCGCACCGCCGGGGCGGCAAATGTCTGGTGCCTGCGTGCCCGCGCGCTGGCCCCCGTCCCCCGGTCCCACCTCCGTCCCCCCACTCCCCCGCCGGCCTCCTCCTCCCGCCGTGCCGCCGTGTTCGCGCATGTGCCGGCACCGTGCCTGTTCCGGCCGTCTCCGTTTGCCCGCGCGCCTGGCTGCTCCCCGGCGGGCTTGGGGCGCCTGGTTGTTGTGCTGCCCCCCCCAGGTCGGCCCTTTTTGGTCTCGCCCTCGCCCTCGTCGTGTTTGGCGCCGCCCGCCTCTCGCGGTTGCCTCTCGCCCCTCGACCCCCCCATCCCTCCTGTGCGACTCGGGGGTGGCCCGCTCCTCTCTGGGGCTGTTTCTTTTTCTGCCCGGGGCAGGTCCGCTGCGCTGTTCCGCCGCCTGCCTGGGGGCCTGTCTCGGTGCGCTTTGGCGCCCCCCAGTCGCTCTCCGTGCGCCTTTGCCGCTGCCCGGGCTGGGTCTTTCCCTGCCCCTGCGTCCGACACCCGCCCGGGACCCCGGGGCGTGGTCCGTCCGCGCCTTTGCCCGTCCTGCGTGGCCTCCCGCCGTCTCCGCCTCCCCCTCGCCACTCTGTGGCGGGCGCTGCCGTCGTGTTGACTCGGCGCCGCCCCCCTCCTGCTCTCCCGCGTCCCGCAGTGTGGCCGCGCCGCTCTCCTGGCCGCCTGGGTCCCTCCCTCCTGTGTTGTGCCCCGGACTGGTACCGCCCTCTCGCCCGCTTTGGCCCTCGTGTCTCTTGACCCCCACGCTTCGGTTCCCCCGTTTGGTTGTCATTTTGTTCTTGCCCCCCTCTCTTTTCCCCCTGCGGCTTTCGCCTCCGCTTTCTCTTTCCTCCTCTACCGCTGTGGCTTCCTGCTTGTCTTTTTTTCCCCTCTGGTCTCTCACCCGGTTGCCGTGTCTCTGCGTGCCCCTTCCTGCCGCTCGTGTTCATGCCTTTTCGTGGGGCGCATCTGGGCCCCCTCTGTGCTGCCTCCTCCTTTTTGCCCCTGTCTCCTCGCTCTCCTTCTCCTCTTCCCCTGCACTCCCCGTCCCCTTTCCAGCTCCCGCCCGGTTCCCTGTCTTCTTAGCACCGTTTCCCCGCGAGCCGTCCTGTTGCCCCTCGCCCTCCCATCCTGCCTTGATTCGTATCCTACGAGCTTTCTTCCCTTCCGCGCTGCCTGCCCCTGGCCTTTCCCGCTGGCCCCCGGTGAGCCCCCTGGGGTGCCCCCTTCACCCCCTCCTCCGCCTTCTTTGGGGGCCCTGCCGTGCCGCGTCCGCTTTGTGGCGTGCTCCTCTTCGGGTGCGCCCGTGTTTACTGATCTTTCCGTCCTGCTGGTGGCTGCTTTTCGGCGTGCCGCTCCTCCAGCCTCCTCCGTATTTCTTTCTCGGTTGCTATTCCTTGTTTGCTTTTTACTGTCTGGTCATCCTGCTTTGGGTTTTCCGTACCGAGAGTAAGCTCTCAACCCAATACTGTTTTTCTTAAATACATGACAGATACACAGCCCTACCGTAAAATAAAAAAAGATAATGCCCCCTATAATATATTTTTTTGGTTCTACCCCGAGACGATAGAGGCCCGCAAACACAACCTTAGACGCTGACCCCCGCCGGGTTTCTCCGCCTTCGCCTCTTTCGCTCCGTGTGTCACCGCTCCTTGGTGTCCCTCCCCCCTGGTCTGGGTTTTGCGCGGCGTCGTGCCCGCCCTTTTTCCTTGTCAGGCCTGCCCGCTCTGCCCCCCTTCTTTGTCTTCCGTCGTCGCTCCCTTCCTCGCTTGTCGCCCCTCCGTGCCCCCCCCTTTCGTCCTCCCTCGCCTGGCGCCCCCCCCGGGTTGTCCCCCTCTCTCCCCCCCGCGCTGCGCTCGGCTCCTTGCGTTTGCGGTTCCCCCGCCCTGGATCTGGCTGCCCTGCCTGGCCTGCTTTCCCTTTGCCCCTCTTCGCGTTCAGCTTTCCTCCTTGGTTCCTCCCCGTCCCCGCCATTTGCCTCTCCCCTTCCGTGCACCCTTCCTCGCCTTCCTTCCTCACGCCCCTCTTCCCGCTTTGCGTCCCTTCCTCGTTCTGTTCCGCCCCGCGCACCCCGCACCCGCCCGCGCCCCTCGGCCCTTCCCCTCCCCCTGCTTTTCGCGTTCCGGCCCGCTCATCGGTTTCCTACACCTGTGCTGTTCTTGTTCTATCCTCGCCTTTATTCGCCGTCCTCGTCTGGCGCCCCTCTCGCTGGCCGGGGCCCCTTTCCTTTTCCCTCCCTTTCGCTTCCTCTCCCTCCCTTTGTCGCCTCGGGTGGTGCTCCGGACGCGCTTGCGGTGGTCCTGTCTTGGCCGGCTTGGCCGGTTCCCGTCCTGGGTGTCCCCTCTGATTCCCCGTGTCTTGACCCGATCCCTCCTTGCCTTTGCCTCTGCTCCGCCTTCTTGGCCTGTGCCGCCCCTCAGCTGTCGCGAGCGTGCCTGTGTGGTGTGGCCGTGCGCACTGCGCCCTGGTTGTACTCCCTGCCGTCAGCCTGCTCTTCTGTTTCTCCCTCTTGCTATTTCTCTACTTCCCCCTTTTCCCTGTCGCCCTCTTTTGCCCCTGCCCCCGCACCGCCTCTTGCGCCTGCTCACTCCTGTGGCCCTGCCTGTGGCACGTG